CTAGTTGCTTTTGAGAAAAAGCTTGAACAGAAAAACAAAAGCAGTCAAAACTAACATTAATAGGCATGGTTTAATTAACCTGAAAGATCTGATGACATCTGTGTAATGTACTCTTTACAGTGCATAGCTTGGAATAAATCCAATGTGAAGTTGATTCTTTCTTAACACATTCTTGATCAGAATCCTACTATAAAGAGAAGAAACATACGTTTTCAACCTGCATTTGAAATGTATTCAGAAACAGATTGGTTGTCAAAAGCAATATCCCTTCTTTTTCCACCCAGCTTTTACCTGGCATTTTTATCTAAATTTCTCTGATTACTTCATAAAGTATACATTCCTATCCTGCTGGTTCGTGGTGGAGGATTATACGCAATTCTCAGCTTGCAATCAAGCAATCATGTATTTAGAAAAGGCTTTACACAACTGATTTAATGGCCTTGGATGACAACAATTTTACAGCATGCTTCTTCAGATGCTTGTGATAAAAGCTCACTTTTTTATAATGTTGGTATAAATTTAAAGTGTATGTGAACACAAAAGCTGGCCATAGATGGTTTGAATCTTGGCCAGTTCAGATTGATCAATTTAGGTACAACCAGCCTGTCGGATTTTACTTGAGATTATTGCTATTATAGCCAATAGCAATAATCACTGTATTCTCCTGGCATGGATTGCTCCCCCCCCCCCCCGCTAGGAGAACACAATATCTCTGCGGGAGGTGTTCCCCCATCAACACTGTCTGTGTAGATGAGGGAATCAAGCGAAAGAACATTGCACTGTCTATGGCCGGCTTTACATTGAACTTTTCTTACTTGTTCTACTTTAGTCTGGTAAATATACAAGTGCAGGTGAAGCCGCGTTCAGACTAGTGGCTGGGATACATCACACCACAATGGTGGTGCCGGAGTTTGCTCAATAGTAAATGGCCCAAGCCTCAATTCATACAACTTCTCAACATACTTTAACACAGGCACCATTCCCAAGGGAGAGATCAGTTTCCTCAGAATAGCTTACGCAGGTCAAAGGTGGTTCTTCTGTACATACACACAGACCTATTGGTACTCCTGCTTCACTCTATGGCAAAATATGGCATCCAGCCCCCCTTCTTTATTAACACCCTGTTACAAATTGATCCTATAAAAAATCCTGTGAGTTGATAACTTCCCGTGCTCTCTGTGCTGAACTCAGTTACTTTGTTCTTAGCTATCTCTGTGGACTACAGAACGCAATTCCCCATGTTATGAAGGAGAGGACCAGGTGTTCTGTAGTCCTAAAACACTTCTTGTCCTAGAGTGATAACACTGCTCCTCCATAGTTACAGTATGGTTAGTGAGCATTGTCATACTGGGACAGGAATTGTGTTACTTCCAAGATCACCAGGTGAAAATAAAGGAAAAAAATGCACAAGTACTATACTCCCTGGGCCTGTGGGGCAAACAACACCTAGTGGTCCTTTCATGGTAAGGACAGTGGGCTAAAGTAAGTGTATCGTGCAAAATGTTCCATGCTACCACATTAAATTGTAGGCATCAATAATGTTGGGCATTCCTAAAGGACAAGGTTTATAACACAACTTTCTACAACTTCCACAGCTGCAAAGGATGTTGGTGATGGAAGATTTCCCTCTGTTTTGGTTCTGCGATTGTAGATCTGAATGAGAAGCAGGCATCTACATGCAACACCCACCATGTCTCGCTAACTGCAGGTCTAACTTGGATAGATGTTTGAATGTTGAAGTGCCTGCACTCATGGCTACCAGCCCAAGTTATCTTACTAGTATTGGCCCTGGGGGGTAAAGCCCCCCTACCCAGCCCTCTTATGTTCGACAACTAAAACTATTTTAGTTATTTAGCTGTTTGCCTGGAGTTCAGCTTTAAAGTATGTGTAAAGTCAATTACTGAAACACTGTAAGCTTTACCAATTTGATGTCATTTCAAGTCATTTTTAATATTTTTTAAAACTGCGGCTTTCATTAAAGTGATACTAAATGCTAATTTTTTATTTTTTAAAAAAAAAAACAAACATGTCATACTCACTTGCTCTTTGCAGTAGTTTTGCACAGAGAAGAGCTGACTCTCCTCTTCTAGGGTACCCTGCCAGTGCTTCTGGCTCCTCCCTCCTGAGCAGTGCCCGCATAGCAAGCTACTTGCTATGGGGGCACTGATGCGTGCTCACTCACAAACCCTGCTCTCTGTGTCCATGAGACACAGGAGAGTGGGCTCAGTCCTGACCCCGCTCCCTCCTCACTGGCTGTGATTGACAGCAGTGGGAGCCAGTCAGGATCGAGAGACCCGGTAGAACCAGGGCTCTCGTGCACATCGCTGGACCAGTATCGTGCTTCAGCTAAGTATGGAGGGGAGCACAGAAGGTTTTTTTTTTTTCTTCAGCTTTTGAAAAACTGCCATAAACCACCTTCTTCAGGCACCTTCTATTAGAAATATCCGTTCCACTCTGTTCTTGACCTCCCAAATGTATTCTTCAGTTTCCACCCTGTTACATATGCATCCAATAGAGACTACAAGTGGCTATTTCAACACACATTGAGAGGCACAAATCACTGTTGTCAACATCAGGATACCTACCAGGAGAAAGGCCATGTAGCCATGGCTGGGGTGCACGAACACAGGAAGTAGCAAAGTAGCAAATATGAAAACAAGTATTTTATTAACCCCTTCCTGCCTGTGCATTTAACTGTGTTAAATATGCCCGGGGAATAGGAAGGTCTGCTTAATCCATGTGACCACTGTGATTGATTGAAACATTGGTGCTGGTCCTGCCAGTTCCCAATCATTAGTACAGACCAAGAGCTGTCTTTGACAGCTCAAGTTTCTGTATTTAGAGTGCATTTTCAGCACAGAAAGCTTTGCTGTCCATAGATGCATACTGTATGTGTGGTATGTGGGCATTAAAGCGTATTCTCTTTGTTGCTGCACATATGCGTTACGTGGTCGACAAGAGGTGAAAAAAACAGGTAATTATTTATGATTAGTAATGGGCCGAACACCCTCCTGTTTGGTTTGCGGTCGAATATTCGAGCCTACCAAAAGTTTGACCGCAAACTTTGAACAGAGACAATTTACTGAGTGGTATCTTACTGCATCTGAATATGTGATAAGATGCTGCTCAGCTACTAAAATACCGCATGAGTTATATCATTAAGTAATGGGGTATTATAGTAGTGAAACATTCTTTAATGTTTCAGCTGTCAGTGGGGTTCCCCGCTGACAACGGAATGTCAAGACAATAAAAAAAAACAGCATGGGGTCCCCCCCCATCCATACCAAGCCTTTATAAAAAAAAATGGCGTGCCCCCCCCCCCCCAAAATACATACCAGGCTCTTATCTGAGCATGCAGCCCAGCAGGTCAGGAAAGGGGGGGACGAGTGAGTGCCACATGCCTTCAATGTGGGGGGGTGCTTTGGGGCGGGGGAGGGCTCCCCCTAGAAGCACCTTGTCCCCATGTTGATGGGGACAAGGGCTTCTTCCCCACAACCCTGGCCGGGGGGCTTGTTGGGAATCTGGAAGCCCCCTCTAAGAATGGGGACCCAGATCCTGCCCCCCCATGTGAATGTGTATGCGGTACTGCTACCCATTCACAAAAAAATAAAAGGGTAGTGTAAAAATGACAGTAGATAGTCTTTAACAAGTCCTTTAATAAAGAGAAAAAAAATGTCCCCTGAAGTAGATCCAACATCAATCATGATGCCCACCGCCACCACTGACCCTGCAAGAAAACCACTCCACTCTAGACGCTGGCTCCCCTCTCACAGCTGCGTAGCGATGACAGTTCTTAAACACTGTGATGACATAACAAAGGGGTAGAGTTACCCCCGCCCCCTTGTGACATAATCATGCACTGTGATTGGCCAAAGCATTGCACCTGATCTGTGGTCAGGTGCATTGCTTTGGCCAATCAAAATGTACTATCAGGGCGCAGTGTGTTGTAGAGTGCAACGGCTGAACAGCCCGCCGAATGCCTTTACCATTTGTGTGTTCAGTGAACACACGAATGGCCAATGTTCAAGTCAAACTTACGTTCGACTCGAAGATAAAGACCATCACTATTTTATGATACACAGTGGTTTAGCTCACTAGGGAGTCTTTCTCAATGCTTATACCCATGATTCGCTCAGCTTTCACTCAAGATTCACCCATTTTGCACATAACATTATATTGTATGTGAAACAATAGGTGAATCTTGAGTGAATGCTATGTGAATCATGGGTTAACAATGATAATAAAAGTCCTAAACATCATTCTGCTAGGGTTTTCTCTGACTCTAAATCATCAGAATCACCACTCTATGTACACGAAAAAAAGACATTGTGAAATCGTGTGTTGCTTTTGGACGATCCCTGAAAACCTTTTTCTTTAACCACTAGCCTACAGGGCACTTATACTCCCTATACCCCTTTCCTGCCCAGGCCAATTTTCAGCTTTCAGTGCTGTCGCACTTTGAATGACAATTGCACGGTCATGCAACACTGTACCTATATGAAATTTTTATCATTTGTTTTTGAGACAGATAGAGCTTTCTTTTGGTGGTATTTAATCATCTCTGGGTTTTTTGAAATTTTGAAAAAAAAGTTTTTCCTTTGTTTTTGTTTTAAAATTTTGTAAATAAGTGATTTTTCTATTTTTTTATTTTTTGCTAAACAAACCAAAAACAACTGAAAATTTTGAAAAAAAAAAGTTTTTCCTTAGTTTTTGTTTTAAAATTTTGTAAATAAGTGATTTTTCTCCTTCACTGATATGCGCTAATGAGGCTGCAGTGATGGGCACTGATAAGGAGGCACTGGTAGGTGGCACTGATGGCCATTGGCAGGCATCACTGATGGCCACTGAAAGGCAGCACTCATATTTGGCACTGATAGGTGGCACTGATAGGCGGGACTGACTGGCACTGTTGGGTGGCACTGACTGGCACTGTTAGGTGGCACTGATAGGCAGCACTGACGGGCACTGATAGGCGGCACTGACTGCACACTGATAGTCGGCACTGACTGGCACTGATAGGCAGCACTGACAGGCACTGATAGGCGGCACTGATGCACACTGATAGTCGGCACTGACTGGCACTGATAGGCGGCACTGACTGGCACTGATAGATGGGGCACTGATTGGCAGCACTGATAGGTGGCACTGACTGGCATTGATAGTTGGCACTGACTGGCACTGATAGGTGACACTGAAAGGCAGCTCAGATGGGCACTGATATATGGCATTGATGTGGCACTGATGGGCACTGACAGCTGACATTGATGGACACTGACAGGTGGCACTGCTGGGGCTACACTAATCATCAGGGCACACTGATCATCAGTGCCCTGATGATCAGTGTACATGTCCCCTCTGAGGAATGCCGATTACCGGCTCTCCTCTCCTCTAGAGCTGTCAGCATAACAGCTCGTGGGGAGAGAAATGCCGATAACCGACATTTCCCTATTTACATGCGATCAGCTGTGATTGGACCAGGGGCGGACTGACCATTTGGAAACTCGGGCACCGCCCGAGGGCCCGGGGTCAGTAGGGGGCCCCATGAGATGCTCCTGGTACCTTTTTCATAGGCTTTTTTGAGTTTGGGCGAGGACACAGGGGCCCCATGATTCCCTATTGCCCGGGGGCCCCATGAGTTGTCAGTCCACCCCTGAATTGGACACAGCTGATCACATGACCGAGCCGAAATCTTCGGCTCTTTCCGTTGATCGGTGATCCTCTGTGTCCGAGGGACACAGTGCACCACTGATCGCCACGCTGCACACTCCCAGAACCGCGCATGCACGGTTAGAATGGGAGGACGTCATATGAACGAGAGAACCGCCTTGCACCCGTCATTGCCTTATATGGTGGGCGGGAGGCGGTTAAAGAAGTCTATCCTGCTTCTACCTAGTAAACCGCCATTTATTTCCTCCATCAGCTCATCCCCCCCAAAGCTATTAGCTTTTGTATAATTCACCCTTCCTCTTAGATTGTAAACTCTAACTAGCCGGGCCCTCTTATTCCTTTTGTACCAAATTGTATTGTAACTGTAATGTCTGCCTTCATTTGTAAAGTGCTGTGCAAACTGTTGGCGCTATATTATTATTTCAGGCACTTGTATAGCGCCGTCAATTTACGCAGTGCTTTACATATATATTGTACATTCACATCAGTCCCTAACCCTCAAGGGGCGTACAATCTAAGGTACTATATAAATCCTGTATAATAACAATAATAATAATATTTTTTGCTTCTGCAACTCATTACATGTAAAAACAAAAGTAAAAAAATGTCCTTCATTTGTCTTATTAATTTTATCCACTATAATATTTGTGCAGTGGTTTGAAAGGCAGTTTAGAATCCTTGTGATAAATTATGATTATAAGCCAATTTAACAGAAAGTAAATTCCTACCTGTCACACTGGATCTTAGCCTAATCACTGGTGACAGCTTTAATAAATGTTCTCCCCACCTATTGTTCTGAGCAGAGGAGTCGGCAATACACTGAGTAAATAGTAGCGTTCGGTGCAGAACAGCCTTTTCCATCCAGGCAAACACTGTTCTCACTTTACCAGTTCTGCATGGCTGTGTGTGTATGGGGCTGTTCCCTATTATAGGCCTTGTTACCTGATCTCCTGCATGTAAGCACAGTTCTGCACGAGTGAAGAGCAAACCAAGGAACAGTCACAAGTGCACTATTGTAAGGCCTCTAATTACAGACAGTATTCTCTGCATTTATGTCACAACAGAAAGGGTATTTGAAAAATGGCATGTACTTTTTTGCATACCAAAAACTAGGAGTTTGTTCAGGTTGTGGCGGACAAGCTGCAGCCAACATGTACTGAAAACAAAGCATAGCTCTAATGTCAGACCTAATCATAGTTGCAATTATTTACTTTCTGAGGAGGGTCTACAGGGTATGTTTCTTTTATGAAAGAGAATGTGTTCATAGTGAAGAGAAAAATGACAATTATCCTGCAGCAACAAACACACGCACACTCCGTGCTAGCAGATCACTTAAAAATAATAACTCCTTTGTGCCGACTTTAATTCCTTTCTGCAGGGAACACTAGACTGCTCGGGGCGCAGATCTAACTGTGAAAATCAAGATTTCTAGTTAATGTGGAACGCTTATAATTTGGCTATGTTAAGGGAGAAATGTAGACAGATATAAAATGCTCCCACTGTTCATTCAAAATACTTAAACCCCAGATCCACCTTTGGGCAACACCAGTGTAAAAATAAAAAAAAAAGTACAAAAAGTACAAAAAGTACTCTGGTACACTTACCTGCTAGTCACAAAAAAAGTTCTTTAAAAATTTGCATTAAAAACAGGTTTTGTTTCTATGTAATTATGCATCTAAAGCCTAGTACACATGATGAGAAAATCGAACAACAAAAAAAAAAAATCATTTTGGAGCGATCGTCCAATAATCGATCATTAGTACAGTGCTTTCGAGAACTGATTATGACAGTTCATGCAAAATAATCAGAAGGGACAAGCACAAAATGTTTTCTTGTAACATAACGGAACAAATGATTTTCGTTTAATCAGTACAGTATTTATCTGTATAAAACTGTGTGACCAAGACCATGCATGCTTGGTAATGAAAGAATACATTATAATACAATACAATACAATATATTACATCATTGAGGGAAGTTGTATTCTGTCTTACAAGAATTTTCATAATTCTAGTAACCTATTCATTTTCCATATGAGACTAGCATGCAAAAAAAAAAAAAAAAAGGGACGATATTCTCATCGTGTGTGCCAGGCTTTACTTAACTTCCCTAGCAGTATCCCCGAGTGTAGCTCGGGGTAAAATGTCAATACCAAAAGCGGTAACCCCGAGCTACACTCGGGCTTACCATGGAGCACTGCATAGGGAGTCCCTGCAGAGCTTACCTTGTCCTGCGCTCCCACGATGTGTCCCCTGCAGTGTCCCCTGCCATCTCCTCTGCCCGATGCCGGCATCCAGCTTCTGTGTTCGGTCCCTGTGACGTCGGGACGTACGGGCGCCGCCAGCGGTGGGAAATTTGAAAATTTTAAAAAATTTCATTTTTTTCCAAACAAATTTTACATAGTAAAACATTGCTGTTTCAACCCATTTCACATACATTTTGTCCCTAGTGCTTTGTCCTGTGCCCTGCCTGCATTTTTACTGTTCTTTCTGCCTAGAAACTGAGAAACGTCCATGGCGTCCAAAAACCGTCCCTTTAGCTCAAAAGCGGTTTTAGACCAGCTAGAGAACAGCGATAGCAAATCAGAACCATTTGCAGAATTGAGTGATAATGATTCGTGGGGAAATTCGTCATCAGACACTGAAAACGATTTTGCGACTTTGCTCAGCGATGTGCGAACTTGGCGCTCTATTTCAAATTTCAGTGTTTTTGGTTTGATTATATTATTGAATTAAATTTATTATTAATATATTATTATTTTTTATGATTATTTATTACATTATAATTTATGATTTTGTGTTTCAAATTTTATCATACCCGGATGTTTACTAGACTCTTGTTCGGACAGATTTCAGTGAGTTATTCCTAAAAATGACAGCCTACGATAAAAAAAACTACATATTTCCATGCAAAATAATAGTACCCCTTTCAGCACCAAAAATCTGAAATAATCATACTGCTAGGGAGGTTAAGACAATTATACATTGATCTGATATGTTTCCATATTTATTTTGCTAAAAAAAAATAATGCAGCTCTGGTTGCAATACTCATCTCCTGCCCGGTGCTGTTCCTAGCAAACTCACCACACTGATCCTATCCCATGTTGAAAGATACCCAGTGCCCATCCAACCCACTTTCTATGATCCAGGCCATCACTGATACAGCCTTTGTGGCCTCATGCCAGCCTGAGCTCACAGGACTCTTGGACAGAGCAGTGCTCGTCTGTTATTTGGTGTGCGCTATGGTATCCAGGAGAAAGGACTTCCCACCACTGCCACCAGAGGAGAAGGGAGAGCATCCATGAAGTCTCTGGACTTGTGTGGGGAGATTTCATAAACAATTCCTCCCCTCTTTATTTTAAATAGCTTCTCAATAGTATTTTTGTAATAACATCTTTTACGTCCTTGGGCAGCATTATTTAGACTGGAAGGGGGAGGAATCTCTAGGAGTGAATCAGACTTTACTGCATTGCATAGTGTTAACAGTTTAACAGATGGAGCTTGCTAACTGAAGAAGAAGCTGCAAAGCTGACCTCATCACCAAGCATTACTATCTAGTCACAGTCTGACCAAGCTGTTTAACTTTAACTACAAAAGAGAAAAGTTAAAGTGGTTGTAAAGGATTACGGTTTTTTACCTTCATGCATTCTATGCATGAAGGTAAAAAACCTTCTGTGTACAGCAGTGCCCCCTCAATACTTACCTGAGCCCCATCGAGATCCAGCGATGTGTGTGACAGCCTCAGTTGTTCGAAGTCTGTATACCAGAATGGGTAATCAGTTGAGCCAGGGTCAGGAAACTAGAAGTCAGTGTAGTCAGAAGTCAAAAATCAGAAACAGGAATTGGAAGAGAAGTCAGCCAGACTGAGTTGTACACAGGAACACAGGCAGGAACACAGACAGGAACACACTGGAGATTATAGACCACGCAAGGACAAGGAGAAAATGAGCTAAGCTGCTAAAATAGCAAAAAGGGCTGGCTGTAGGCTGAATTAATGAGGCAGGTAAAGATATCCAGGTGAATCAACGTGGAGACAACAAGTGGCTGCTAATTAACAGACAGCTGAGCAGCTTCTGAGCACTGAAAGAAAAGAGCTGTTTGTTAAGTAGCAGGTGCCCAGCCCTGACAGTACCCCCTCCTTAATGACCCCTCCCCCTTGAGGGGCACCCGGCTTGAGGGGAAAACATAAATGGAAAGCAAGAGCATGTATGTCCGAGGATGAGACCCAAGAGCATTCCTCCAAAACAAAACCCCTTCAGTGAACTAGATATTGTATACATCCACGAAACCTACGGGAGTCAATGATAGATTGTATCTCATATTCCTCATGGTTGTCAACCTGAACCAGGCGAAGGTGTGATACTGAGGTGGTATAGCGGTTACACACTAAAGGTTTTAATAAGGAAACATGGAATACATTGGAAATACGCATGTTGGAAGGAAGTTCTAATGCGTATGCCACTGGGTTAAACCTATGGAGTATGTGGAAAGGCCCAATATACCAAGACACCAGCTTTAGTGAGGGAAGATTGGCGCCAGACGGACTATTTAAAAGGTGCCTCTGCCTGTCCTGAGTGCTGACTGGTCTTCAGCTGTTCCCCGTTTCCTGCTCATTCCTGTGTGATTCCCTTGTTGCTGACCCGGCTTGTTCCTGACCTGACTCTTGATTACTCTCCTGCTTGATACTTGTTCCTGACCTCGGCTCTGCTCCTGACTTTGGCTTGCTTATGATTTGGTACCTCACTGTCTGCCCGTTGATGACCCCGGCTATTCCTATGACATTGCTCCTGTCTCCTATCCCAGCTTTCTGCCTTGCAATGGTGCATTCCTGGTGATCTACCATACCAGCTCTGCATATCGCTACTGTTCCTGAATCGGTGGTCCATCAGTCTTTTAAGGACTCCAGCTGCAAGTGCTGCAAACAACATCTGCTGGCACTCTTGTCCCCCTGGTCCCTAGATACCCTCTGTTCCACTTCCAGTGGGGTCAGGGCTAGTGA